CTGGGGAATTCTGGGAGCTGAAGTCCACACATCTTCAAGTTGCCAAGTTTGAAAAACACTGATGTAGATGGTTCGGTTGTAAAACAAGCATGAAAAAACTGGGGTAGATGGTTTGGTTGTAAAACAAGATGGTTTGGTTGTAAAACAAGTCCACACATCTTCAGGTTGCTGGGTTTGAAAAACACTGGTGTAGATGGTTCGGTTGTAAAACAAGTGTGTTTCCTTTTTCCCATGCCCCCCAGATCTGAGATTGCAACCAGCAATTCCAACCAGAGGGCCTATTATTGTCCTTGAACTTCAGCTCCTTAGACTTCATCCCAAGCTCTGGAGCAACTGAGAATGAGTTTCTTCCCCTTGAATCGTGAATGTTTCTTGATTCTTTTCTGTTCTTCTCTGTCCTCTTGGATTTTTCACGGGTTCATACTTTTCCTAACTCTCATACCCTCTGAATTCTAGAACCACGATATAGGAAAACTTTTCATAGACTAATGGTGGGGAGAAGGGGTCCATGAGTGATTGAGGAAAGGAAGCCATAAACAATGAAGAGACAGAAGGCAAGTCAGTTGCCACTTTATCTCATAAACAGCGACTCAGCCCAGTGGTGAGCGATCTGGGAAGAAACATTTCAGATCCTTCACAGAGACTCCACCTGAACAAGGCTGGGAAATGTCTCTTGCAGGTTCTAAGACTTTGGCTCCTTACCCAAAGACCCATGAAGACCATCATGTGGTTTGTGTTTGGCTTAGCCTACAGGCTGAGCCCAGACATTGTAGGTTAGCATTATGTATGAAACTCCATCATGAATATTCAACAGACATGGTTTAGCAAACCATGGCTTAATATGAGATGCAAATTCTGTCCTCCTTCATTGACACATTGAATCTGAAGGATGCTGCTTTCATCCCACTGCCACCTTCTCCTTTGCAACCATTCTCCTTTACCGGGTTGATGCAAACATTTAGAATACCCTGTTTGGAGTTCAGAGCAATTGTTTCCCATCTGAAATGAGGACATTCTGGAAATGTTTTCCTCCTGAAATAGCTGTTTTGGGCTCAGCCCACATCCCAAGGGGTCAAAACAGCCCTTTTGCAGATGAAATAAGAGTTGCCAATGCAAAACAAACATTTCAAATTCAAAACAGGATGTTTGGTATTTCAGTGAATTTGAAATGCTTTGCACACCTGTCTCCAGGTGTAACATATGTGAAGATCCCAGTAGCTATTTGGACTAGTTCACACAGACTTTGGGACAGCTTTTAATGATGAAGCAGCAGGAGAGAGGTTTCATAAATAAAGAGTATATGGTCTGAACCCAAACAATTATAATTTAGTCTAACCTAAATTATGATTTAACCATTTAGTCTGGTTAAGCAAAACGTGACCCAGTGCTTTGTATGAACCTGATCTGGGTTAGTCTTCCCAAGCTGAGTTTCTTTGCCATTCTGTTGGCTGTGCGTCTTCTGGGAATTGTAGTTCCTACTACACAATCCTGTGACCCATTGGGTCATCCTTTGAGAGGAAGGTCATGCAGTCGGATGTGACCAGAATGACCATTAAATTTTCAGCTTACCATATTTTTTTTTACCCCAATGCTGGACAGTCCCATGATCATCTAAGAAGAGTATATATCATAAATAGAAAAATAATTGTAATGGCAAATGAACTTTAATAATAAGTCAATATTTACTTACTTAAACAGAGAAACAGAATGACCACAGGCAGGCTCAAAAGCAGTGGGAGCAGGAGTGACGTCCGACTTCCTGCCGGCTTTCCCATTGACTTTGCTTGTGACCAGAATGACCATTAAATTTTCAGCTTACCATATTTTTTTTTACCCCAATGCTGGACAGTCCCATGATCATCTAAGAAGAGTATATATCATAAATAGAAAAATAATTGTAATGGCAAATGAACTTTAATAATAAGTCAATATTTACTTACTTAAACAGAGAAACAGAATGACCACAGGCAGGCTCAAAAGCAGTGGGAGCAGGAGTGACGTCCGACTTCCTGCCGGCTTTCCCATTGACTTTGCTTGTGGGAAACTGGCAGGGAGCGTCGGAAATCACAATCACGTGACCACAGGGATGCTGCAACGGCCACAACTTTGCAAATAAAACTCTGTGTCAACATTGTGGAAATTTCAATTCCACAGGAGTCATGGGTCCTGGATTTTTTACGCATTCTTTAAATTAGCAGATTATAGGTACCTTGATTCAAAAATCGTTGTGATATAATGCCCCGTTTGGACTAACTTGAAGGTACAAACAGATAAACACAATGAGAGTTCTAATAGTATATAGATACTTCTGTCAGGGAAGGCCAGTCCAGGCGAAGAGGGTCCCAATCTCTGCTTTGTCCCTCTCCAGGCGTGCCTCTCCTGCCACCAACAGATCCACCGGAACGCCCCCATTTGTCCCCTTTGCAAAGCCAAAAGCCGTTCTCGCAATCCGAAGAAACCCAAGAGGAAGCAAGACGAATGAAAACGCCGCAGAACCGTCTCGCCCCGCCACTCCCCAAACCGGACACCTTTTCCTCCTTTTGCAGTAGACCTGTCAAGGTGATCTAAATTTGTTGGCGTGTGCCCCACCCTGAGTGTCACTTAAGCTTTCATTCCATTTAACGTGTCAGCGCAACTGTACGGTCGGTTGAGTGACGCTGGTTTCCAGCTAGTCTTGGAATAGGCTGCTTTAAGAGCAGACGGTGCTACCTTGGGACTCTGCACATGAGCAGGTGCTACACCAGCCTGACGGCAAAGGACACTGGGTACAGAGAAAACAACGGGTGGCTTGTCTCCTATTTAACAGCATGTCCTTCATTAGCAAATGGACCTAAAGCCCTTTTTTTATTCAACTGATCAGAGTCCCATTGTTTCCATGACCCGTTTATTTTTTTATCATGACGGTATTTTTGTACTGAGACTCTACTTTTCCATTCAGTCTCCAGCGCTCGAGAGTCTTTTCATACAGGTGTCAGGATGTGTAATGTTTACTTGGTTTCGTTCCTAGGTATAACCAGTGGGGGGGGGGTGTCTTTATTTTTCTTGGTAAGTCCTGTGCTAAAGGAATTGGAGTTCTGCCTTACCTGTGCTTATGGACCCATTCTCGGGCCTGCATAAATCCTGCAAAATTACATTCTTCTAGTATTTAGCAAGATGGACTCCAAGTCCACCAGCACGGGAGAAGCACCAGGGAGCTCTGCAGAGAATTGACTTCCCTCCTGGACAAGCTTTCAGGGGCAGAGAACTAGATTTAACAGCAAGGGCTGAAGCAGGAAGGGGAATTGAGCAGAGTTACATCCTGCATGTGGGCAAAGCTAGGATATTCCATGTTTTCCTCTGTCTATGGGTGAGGGAGAGATTGCTTGGATTTTTTTCCCCTTTGAAAGCTGCCACAGAAAAGCTGCAGTTTTCACAGGGGGGGTTAGTGGTGGTAGAACTGGACTTGGGGTCCAGGTTCAGGTCTCCACTTAAATGTGGACCTCAGTGATTTTGGGCCAGTCACTTTCCCTGTTTCACAGGTTTCTTGTATAGTTATATTTAGGGATGCCCTCCTCCCCCCTCACCCCACTCCATGTATGCTGCCCTGTGGAAAGCAGGGATCTGTGTGCAAAATGGTGTTTTGTTTTGGGGGTTTTCCTGATTTGCAGCTTTTCTTACCAGCCACAAAAAAACAGGCCTTCATCCCCCACTGCTTAGGGGCATCTGTGGGGAGAAGATGTCAAAAAGGTCAAGACAACGGAGTTTTAATGGTGAGGGTCCAGCTGCCATCTCGACATATTCGACCCTCCCAAGATGCCCCTAACCCTGATAAACACGATCAGACTTCTGAAATGTGTCCCTGTGACTTGAAGGGGCAACAACTTTTTTTTTAAGGGAGAAGAAAACCAAGGGTTTTTTTTAAATGATATAGAGCAGTGTTTCTCAAACTTGGCAACTTTAAGGCATGTGGGCTTCAACGCCCAGAATTCTGGGAGTTGAAGTCTACATGTCTTAAAGTTGCCAAGTTTGGGAAAGACTAAGAGTATGTATACTCTTCCAGAAACTAAAGAAATTTGCTTAGTAGCAGGATTTCCTTCTCTGTGCTTCAGCACCCAGAACTTTCGATTCCAATCATGCCCAGTGAGATCTCTTCAATAAATGTTGGACTCCACTCCCATCATTCCTAGCCTGGAGGCCCATCAACTTTGCAAGTTGTGATTCACCCCATCTGGAAAGCACCAAGTTGAGGATAGCTGGTAACATCCACCAGCTTTCCAGGGTTTGATGGGTGGGGGAACGTGCCTACTACTTCAACCTTTTCAGATGGAGAAGCTCAGAGTAAACTTGAGGGTTTAATGTTTGCAAAGCCTACATTACATTTGATGATTGTCCTTAATTATAGCAATATCCCAACTGGAAGAGCAGCCCAACAGAGAAACCCATGCCCAGAGAGAGTGTGGGATAAGTTCAGGTGTGGCTAGACCTATGCTGGCTGTGGAATTCTGGGAGTTGAAGTTACACATCTCAAAGTTGCTGACATTGGGAAACACTGGGCTAGACACAGTCACCTGTCCAAGATTCTGGAATTCTATGAGATAACAAATACAATTCTGTTTTTTTTTGTTTGCTTTTTAAGCCAAGCATCCTTATCTTCTGTTCAATGAGAACCCTTTCTTACCTTTTCCTGTAGGCCATGCTGCCAACTCTTTTTTCTGTCCTGCAAGTTCAAGCCAACAAGAGAATGGAGTCAATACCAATTAGATTATTGTCATAAAGAGTAGCCCCAGATGGAATTTTTATTTTAACCTTGGGAAGAAGATAATATTTATTGATGGTGTTAATTCCAACAACCGGAAGACAATTCCTAAAAGGGGACCATGTCAATGATTGTTAATACACTCTGCCTGATGGACATGGTCTTAAGGTTTGTTCAGCATGAATTTTGCAGAAACTAAGCATAGCCTAAAAGTAGGATTATGAGTGTCTGTCTGCTTTCCATGTGTGCCATAATATTATTAAAATGTGACTCAGACTCTGTGAATAGAGGTTTTACATCTCCTTGAATGAACAAGGAATTACTACTTGACTTCCTGTTTTATTTGCATCAGACTTGAATGGAATTAATTTGGAGCAGAGCAAGTGAGACACTAATTTTCTTGGATCATGTCATCTTTTATACAATCACAAGTGAAGTCTCTTGTTACTCATGTCAGTGTAACCTATTCGAAAGGCAGTGTATTAAAAACCCACCTTTTACTTACCAATTTCAGTTGCAAGTGCTCATTAAGTAGACCCTTTTCTAGAAGGATGAGATTCTACCCAAAATATAATAATTGGTAAAAGAATGTTGAAGTTAGAACTATGATTTTCAGTTGCTAATAACATATGGGGATAATGAGAAGATAAAAAGGGGTGTTGCCCACAATTGGCTACTTGAATCCCTGGAAAAAAGGGCAAATTGAAAATGCGACAGATAAATGGCCAAACTCTAAATGGCATTGATAGATGCAATTTGCTCTAACTGATCATAGATGAAACCACGTGGTTCAATTCTAAAAGTGGTTTGGTAGAACCTCAATCTTGTGTTCAGCTCATGTCAGACTGGATTTTGAAATCCAGTGGTTTTTGGGGGGTGGGGATGGTTCCAGGGAGGGAAATGGTAGCTCTTCCCATTTTTTAAAAAAAGACCTCAGCACTATTTTAATAATGGTGTATTTTTGTGGTGCCCTCCTAAAAATGGCAGGAAACCATATATAGCTGGTTTTTGTTTGGTTGTTTGTTTTGCTATTTTGGTCCAGAAGGGCTTCAAGAGCTGCAAAAACAGGATTTGAGGACTGCACATGGCTCTGCGGCCCCAAGTTGCCCACTCCTGTTCCAAACTGAACCATATTACTGATTTCTCTGGCTGAAAAGTGCATGAGTTGTACTTCTAACACATCTGGAAGGCCCCAAGTCAAGGAAGGCTGACATGAAGTTCTAATTATTTCATCAAGTAAATAAACTGAAATAGATGTTCTCCAGATGTGAACCATCTTTCAGAATCACTCAACCAGATGGCCACCACTGAGAGTGAAAGTCCACATGTGTAGAAGACATCAACGTGGTAGAAAGCTGACTAGTTCCATCGTGTGAACAGGATCCTTGACTTGTGGAAGGTGATTCAAATGAAATAAGAAAACCTCAAGTCCAACACTGCAGGTGGGCTTGGATCTTTTCTTCAGATTCGTACACATCACTATATCTCATCAAAACAATGTATTTAAATCAGTTGCCATTAATATGGTGTTACTGCAATTGTAAGGGATGTGGGGAGGCTGGGAAAGGAATGGATAGGAGCAAAGATGAGGTAGAGGGTGAGTCAGTTGTCTGTTGATTTCACAAATGGCAACTCAGCCCAGGTGAAAAGAAACCTGGGCAGAAGCATTCCAGATCAGTTTCAGATTACTCCACCTTAATGAACTCACTATGAACAAGGTTAGGAAATTTAAAGGTTCCAAGTTTGAGTATTTATCCCAAAACTAGCATTAAATACCTTACTGAAATCTGCAATTCTTACTTCCTAGATCTTGCCCAGTTGCGTGAGGCTTGACATCAATAAGAACGTGACAAAAAGGGAAACAGAATTAACACCAGCTGCCAAACCAAGATTTCCTGTAGACCATCAGAAAATAGATCTTAAATGAATTCCTCCCCTCTTTAACTCAATTACACTTAACACAGTGAATCCAGAAGCAGCCCTGGCGATATCAGACTATTTTAATTCAGTGAAGCACAATTGCCTTCAGTCCGCTGAAATGTTGTTTATAAATAGTAAAAAAAAAAAAAGACTGTCAGGCATAATGACTTCTCCACTGCAAACTTCCCAGCTCAAGGAACAATTCATTACAGATTTCTAATAGTCCAGACCAAATTTGAATGGCTTCTATTAAAAAAAGAAAGAAAAACCTTAAAAGTACAGCCGCACACACATGCAAGGGGTATATCAAATCCTGTTCAGCCATGAATTCCAGTGCAAGATTCATTGAGCCATTGTGTGGTTTGTGACTCTGCACTGAGTGTAAACTCTTGTGCCATTGTGAGTTGTAAACCTTCTGCTTCATTGCTTGGTATCTCTTAGGGAGCTCAGATGGGATACCGAATGGAATCTGCGTGTCTAATATTTGTGGCGAAGATAGAATTGCAGCAAATCTCAAGGGTTTTCTTCCCCTGTGAAGGAGACAGGTTTTGTTCTTTAAGCCTTGTTCTCAGGATCTGGAGAATTTCAGGTTGATTTTAGCGGTGTTTTTGACCTGGCTCAACGGTTGGTGATAGAGGGAGAAACGACTATCGATATTGTTCTTTTCTGATGCAACGAAAGACAGAACATTTGCATGCATACGCCTTGGTCATTCTCATCACTCAATAAGTGTAAAACATCACCAACCCAAAGCTTCACTGAGATACCCTTCTTGCCAAGAAATTTCAAAAGCAAATGCTCTTTCATGGAATTCAAGATGAATGGGTAGGAAAAAATGCAGAGGAAATGTTCCACACAACATTAATTTCAGCAATTGTATCATTTTGCTCTTCTACAGAAACCTTAAAAACCTAAGAGACTGGTCTACTGTTCACCTGAGGTTTAGAAGACCAGTTTTCTTCCAGATGACTTGAACTGCAGCTGCCTCCATCATCTCCATAGCCAACAGCAAAATAAACCTGGTTATTTTAACTGGAGGTAACAAGGACTGAACAGGGTACAAACCATGGGCACTTTTTGCATGAGACAATAGCATCTCAGCTAATGCATTTTCTTGTTCCATCAGTAGGAATATGGGAATCAGATCTGTTTCCAGTAGAACATTTGAATCGTGTTGGGAAAGTAATCCAGTCTGGTTCGAATCCATGGGGAAAGTGGAACTGGACTGGATTCAGTTGTCAGAATCAACATGGGCTCAATCTCTCAACTGGATTATTAGTATTCATGTGGGCACATGTGGCAAGGGTCAAAATTGGCTTGGAATACATTATCAAATATATGCACACACTTGTCGATGCGCCTAACCTTGGTCTGTGTCAGTCTTCCACATATTCATCCGTAAGCACATTCTATCCTACTCTGTAATCAAATCAAACCTTTTCAAAAGTCGCATTTAAGCTTCTACTTTCCAAACTTGGGTTTTTGTTCAGCGGTCTGGCAGTGCTCACTTCGAGAAAGCCTGCTTGCTTTGCCGGCTAACTCTTTTCCTCCTTTGGAAGGCAGAGCAATTAGGAAACCAATCGATCTTTATTTTATAAAAACGGGCTGATTTGAACCTCCTCCATTGGCAAACTGGCCAATTATGTGGTGGAATAATCAATGTGGCATCTGCCCTGTTGCTGAAGGGAGCAGGGATCCCAGGGACTGGAGCTTTTCCTTTTCCTTCTCTAGTCAAAATAAAATCAGCTTCATGTCTACAGTTCTGAGTCTCTGTCTCAAGTGCAACCAAGAAACCTCCATCCACGCAAAGCAGCATCATGGCACAGGCTGGAGAGTCAATGGTCTTCCAGATGTTGCTGAACTACAACTCCCAGCATCCCTCACTGTTCTCAGGTATGCAAGACCATTGGAAAGCAGAGTGCAGCAATATCTGAAGGGGCACAGTTTCCCCACCCCTGATGTAGAAGGAAGGGAAAACACCCTAAAATACAGGTAGAAATTGCTCATGGTCTAATGCCAGCTGTGTTTTCCAGATAACTTGAGCTATAGATCCCCTCTACCCCCAACAGCAGTGCTGCCAAGGAGTGAGGGCTGTTGTAGTCAAGTCAGATTTTCTATTTTTATATTACCAGACACAGAAATAGTTCTCTAATGTTGTACACATAGTCCTCTACTTACGACCACAAGTGGGACTGGAACTTGGGTTGCTAAGCGATGCAGTCATTAAGAGAGTCATGTCCAATTTTACAACCTTTTTGCTGCAGTCATTAAGTGGAT